ACACACACACACACACACACACACACACACACACACACACACACACACACACAACAAGCAAGCAATATTTCTCACAACGAGAACCAACACTTATGAAATGTTGGTAACTCTCAAGTGAGGGACTGCACATTTCTTCATGAATTGGCTCCGTTTGTTGAACAAACAAAACGTTTTTCCAAGTTCTTACAAATCCATTCTTTTGGAAAATGTTAATTCACAAGCTTTTCATCTGACAACAGTGGCATGTGCATTGTTTGTTTCATTGTAGGTTTGTGGTTCGTGCCTGTGTGTGGGTGAGTGACTGGGTAGAGAAATAATAGCTCTTTCCAAGCAGATGAAGGTGCGTGTGGGAGGCTGAGCTAGTGTGTTTGTTTGTGGAGTATTCAGACAGTAAACAGTGTGGTGCTTCTGAAGCACAGAGCAGTCTTAACAAACAGCTCAATTAGCTTAAATGTAATAAGAGGTCAGCTGACTCCTAATTGCTCCCCTGCTGCTTGTAGTGCTCGCGGGCTGACCGCACAGGTAGCTCACTGTAAACATGCCACTCTGTTTTAAAGTTGCAGTACTTAGTGACACCCTAATCATTGCAGTGTAATGCTCGCTATTAATGTTTACTTTTCAAGTTTTTACGGAAAGACCTTAAAAGAAATGTAAAAAAGAGAAAGCAATGTTTTTCTTTTTCCCAGTGTCTTTAGCTGTCTCGCCCCCATCTGCACATTGTTTGAAGATACACATCCAAGAACATTTCCTTCTTTTCCGTAATTAAAATTTTTATGGTTTTGTTCAAGCAATCAGAACTCTTGGATATTATTGAGAAAAGATTGTGGCTTTGGTTAGAAAATTGGTAATGGCAAGTTAACATGTCCTCATGACAGAAGATGAAAATATTCTCCTTAATCAAAGGATATTTGATGCCTAAACACGATGCCTAACATATTGGGCTGGACAACGTTTTGCATTCATTCGTGGTATAAAATCAATGTGGAACCGAAACATTCCTCAAAGATTTTTGGTCCATTATGACGCAAAGTTGCTGCGGATTTGTCGTCAGCAGATCTGTGACGTGAATCTCCTGTTGCCACACATGCACACGATGGACTGTGAAAGTTATTTTATGTACATTAAACTACAGTAAAATGTAAGTTTGAGATGATTTGAACTTTGTGACATGTTATCATGCT